TGTGTTTTGGTGGCATATCTCACTAAATTGTTGAGCAACTGCTTAAATTCTGTCACAGAAACACCAAACCTGAGACAGTTCTGGGATCAGCCCTTTCTCCAAGGACTCTTGGCTCCTTTAGAAAATGGCACTAAGGACCAAGACTGGGCACTGTGTGATAATTGCTACTTTTTTGGGGGGGTGTGCTGGGGACTGAACTCAGGGTCACTCGATCACTGAGCCACATCCCCAGCCCCAGCCCTATTTAGTATTTTATTTAGAGACAGGGTCTCACTGAGTTGCTTAGAACCCCACTTTTGCTGAGGCTAGCTTTGAACTCATGATCCTCCTGCCTCAGCTTCTCAAGCCATTGGGATTTCAGGAGTGTGTACCCAGCTCATTGCTACTTTTGAAGTCTTTGCTAATAGGCCTAGGTGAGTTGAGAAATATATATTTCTCATATATATGTACACATGTATATACACACATGTGCGTACACAAATATACAACTGTATGTGTGCACATATTTACATATTTAAACTTTCATATACCTATTATTTACTTTAGAAATCTTGAGTCCATGTCAATACCTGCAACTTAATTCATCCCATTGTGTTCATCTTGCTTTTTTCTTTCATTATCCATATGTCCCATCTTCCCCATTGAGAACACTGGCTCTCAACAGTATCAAGATAGTCACTAATTTGCTCAATACCATAGTACATCTAAAATAAGTTCAGAACTACTTCGCCTGTTATCTCTTTGAAAACAAGCCTACTAAAAAGGGGCCTGATTTTTTTTTTCTGTTCTCTCCTGATTCTGCACAAGAGTGAGACATATTTATGATTTAATAGTATATTTTCAAATTACTTGGATTGGTTGTCTTTCTTTTTTCCCCCTCTTTGGAATAGTATGTTATGTCTTTTTGTATAGATAAGTAAATATATGTATACTTTGTTATTTCTTCTCTTCACAAAAATGGTAGCATACCAATATGCCCTTTTGCTTTTTCCACTTAAGAAATTTCATGGAAATTACTTGATATCAATTCAKAAAGATCTTCCTTTTTTCCCCTTTATAACAGCTGCAAAGTGGTCCATCATGAGTATTTATCATAGAGTATTTTAAACAACCACTTATGCTTGAACATTTACATAGTTTGCAATGTTTTGCAACAGCAAATAATGTGGCAATGAATAACCTTGTGTAAATGTATTTTTTGGGACTGTTGGATTGTATCTACAGGGTAAATGCTCAGAAGTGAGATTAGTGGGTTGAAGTAAAAGCAAAATAGCTTTGTTGGTTATTGCAAATTCCTTTCTATAGGAGACATATCATTTAGCATTCTCAGTGTATGAGAGTAACTTTTTCCCACACCTTGTCCAACACACTGTAATCATAAGCTTCTGAGTTTTTGCCAAATGGATGAGTGGATTCTTAGTGTTGTTTTTGTCTGAGCTACTCTTTTTATGAGAGGAAGTAAACATTTTTTATTTGTTTAAGGACCATTTTAAAAACTTTTCATTGAATTGTCTGTGGATGTCTTCTGCTGATTTTCCCCCTCATGGGATTTTACATATATATATATACTTAATTAATTAATTTACATTAACTGAAGGCAGAAAACCAGAGTCCCTGGTGTGGTTAAGCAATGGATTCTGCTCTCCAGACACTCATAGTTTGTAAACACTATCACAGTGGGAATGAGCACAAGTTCTGTAATCAGATTGCCTGTCTTTGAATGCCACACCTGCCACTTAAGCAGGTTATTTGATCTCCGATGCCTCTGTTTCTCTATCTATAAGATGAGACTAGTAATAGAATTTACCCCTTAGGATTATTATAAAGGTTAAATGATAACATATATAAACTATTTTGAACGGTACCTGGAAGAGTGAACATTCCATAAATGTTAGCTGTTTATAGTCAAGAAATGTTCTCAATCAAGAAAATGCTCTCAATCCATTGTTTGATTTGATCCCATAAAAATGCTGTTTATTAGGCTGGGGTTGTAGCTTAGTGGTACAGCACTTGTCTAGCATGTATGAGGCACTGGATTCAATTTTTAGCACCACATAAAATTAAAATAAAGGTACACTGACAACTAAAAAAATATTTTTTTAAAAAATGCTATTAATTGTAAAAAAAAAAAAGGTGGGGATTTTAGAAGTTTAGAAGCATCAGGTCAATCAGTGGTAGAATCATTCATTTATTTACTCATTTGTTCATTCCACGGGTTTTGATTTAGACTCTACTATATACCAGRCATTGTCTATGCACCGGAGATAACCCTGAGCAAGACCAAACTTTGAGCTTCCGAGTTACTCTCTTATCATGGAGGGCTCTGTGTGGGGTTTGGAAAGAGACAAAACCCAAGGAAACCCATTTTGTCTTGTTCATTATTTGTCTCTTCAGAACCTACAACAGAGTCAAGATTTATTTGTTAAATTAACACATGAAAAAATGAATGGTGAAGAAGGAGGCTCAATATATGGTAGAGGCTGAATCAAAAGACTTTGCCAACTATTCTATTTTTTCATCTTTATTTTTATTTTTTTAGCTACACATGATATTGCAATGATCTTGGCAATTCATACATTTGAATCATTGGGGTATAATTTCTCATTTTTCTAATTGTACAGATTGCAGAATCACATTGGTCATAGAGTCACCTATATACATACAGCAATCATAATGTCTATTCTATTCTACTGCCCTTCCTATCCCCCCTACTCCTCCCCTCCCCTCCCATCATTTCTCTCTATCCCATCTAATGTGACACACTTTTTTTTCTTTTTCTCATCACAACATCATACATATATTCTGTATAATGATGAGGTTCTCCTTCCATCTTCCGTGCAACTCCCCTTCTCCCTCTTTTTCCCTCCCACCTCTCTTCCCTATTTAGTGGTAGTCTTCTTCTCATGCTCTTCCTCCCTATCCCATTTTGAGTCACTCCCCATATATCAGAGAAGACATTCGGCATTTGTTTTTTAGGGATTGGCTGCCAACTATTCTGAAGAACTTGATTTAATTTGCAGCAGATAGACCACATGATCAAATCTGCATGTAAGAAAACTCAAACTGGAGGCTGTGTGGAGGACCCAAAGGAGGACAACCAGTTTTTACAGTATGTCTAGTGGGAGCTGATGAATCAAGAAGGAGATTCAGGGGATAGAGGAGGTGAGCAAAGGAGAAATTCAGAAGTCAGAATTGACTTCACATGGGACTTTTGGGTGTAGAAGAAAGGAGAAAAGGGCTGGGGATGTGGCTCAAGTGGTATTGCGCTGGCCTGGCATGCGTGCGGCCCGGGGTTCGATCCTCAGCACCACATACAAACAAAGATGTTGTGTCTGCTGAAAACTAAAAAATAAATATTAAAAAAGTTCTCTCTCTCTCTCTTTTAAAAAAAAAGAAAGGAGAGAAGTCTGGAATAATGTTGAGGTTTCACTGTGATAAGAAATCGAGGAGAGATGACTAATGTGGGAAAAATGGAAGAAAACTCTTAAAACATGAACTTGAGGTGTTGGTGGGACCAATGATCATTCTCTTGCCTGCTTGCATTTGGCTTTTTGGAGTTAGGAGCTGTGAATTTGTTGGGGCACTTAGTAGCAACCTATGAGACTAACAGTGTCTAATAGCAGAGAGGACACTAGTTAGGTGACCAACTGGCCAGCAGTGCAAACTTGGGAGTCACCCTAACTTTCCCAGGATCGTTGATGGGGTATGCTCAGTGCTACGTTAACTGCTAATAGTGAATGGAAGGTAAAAATATTATCTTTGCATCTTCTCTTATGCCCAAGATGATGCCTTGCACAAAGCAGACTGGACAATATTAAATAGATATCACATAGGAGATGGATGAAAGAAAACACTTCATCAGACAAGTAGCTGCTTAGACTTCTCCAGGAATCAGAAGGAGCTCTCAATCTCTTCCCTTAGTGGTAAAGACAGAAAACAGATGACTAAACAATCCCCAACAGCCCAAGAAAAGTCCCTCTAGAATGGTCCCCTGCAAGCTTCTATGATACCAATGTTTTTCTAAAGATCATGCAGGATGAAAGGCTGTGAGCTTCAGATTATGAGAAGACCTGAACAAGGCATTTATTTGAATACGTGGACACCTATTTTTACCCAGAGAAAAGGAGTTTCTAATGAAGCTGGGGATGTGGTAAAAATCCAAGAGAATAGAGACCATGTTTCGCAGACGCTACCACAGGTTGACAATTATTTCAAAAAGTCACCTGAACTTTCTATAAGATGTCACTGGATCCCCACAAGAAGGTTCATCACAGTTCAGAAAGAACCTACTACAATTCATTATCTGATCAGAGTGCTTTCTGGTTTGCCCCTGCAGAGTGCCAAGAACAGGAGGGTAAGGTTATGGTACGCGCAGTTAAGAAGACAGAGGAGAATCTCCTAAGTAATGGGGAGATGGGAAGCTAGTGCAAACAAACTGTATGATGGTGGTGGGAGAGAAAACAACAGTACGGACTGGCACGGGTGACGAAAAGATAAAAAGAAGAGCACAAGCAACAATTTGCTGGGTGGAGAGGGCGACAAGGGGAACAGCTGCGGAGGCGGTCGTGGGATGGAAAGGCGAGAAGGAAAGGGGTGTGAACGCAACCTCACGTGCAGAGCACGAACCAACACTAGAGATGTAAATAGAATTGGGGAACTGAATTGGGAAGGAAGAACTTAGTCCTCAGAGATGCCTTATCAGTTTACACAATCCAGCCCAGAGCTAAGGGGGTGTGGTAGGTAGCTCAGAAAGGTGGGCGTGTTAGACCGCGGCGAGGGAGGTGGCGCGCCCCCATTCCTGCCAGAAACGCTGGGCGGAGAAATCCCCGTCGCACGTCTGCGGGGCGGAGGCGGAGTGAGGGAGCGGATGGGCGGGACGGGGGCGGGGACAGCACAGGGAGGCGCGGGCTGAGGGCGGCGCTAGGACCCGCTGGCCGCCCCGCCGGCTCCCGGGAGGTTGATAAAGCGGCGGCGGCGTTTGACGTCAGTGGGGAGTTAATTTTAAATCGGTACAAGATGGCGGAGAGGGACGAGGCAGCGCGAAGGCAGCAGCCGCACCAGGGGCTGAGGCGCCGGCGGCGGACCAGCGACCCTAGCGCCGGGGTTAACCACGTCTCGTCCACGACCTCCCTAGGTACGGCCCGGCAGGACAGAGCCCGCAGGGCTCGTGTAGAGGGAGGCAGCCGGCTGCTCGGGCTCGCGGGCACCGGCCGCAGGCGGCGGGGTCGGAGTCCTGGGCAGGCTCCGCTCTCCTCCCGCCGCCGCGTCTGCCCGCCGGGCCTAGCCCCAGCCGCGCCCCGTGCTCTGCCGCGCGCGGCCTGAGAGAGCGGCGCGYGGTTCTCGCAGCTCTTGCAGCTGTCGGGTGAACGGGCGGCGCGCGCGTCTGAACCGGGCCCGGCCCCCTGCCCGCTCGCCCGCCGCGTGGCTGCGGCCGTGTCCGCCCCGGCCCGAGGGGGCGGCCTTGAGCCAGGGTTGCGGGCTGGGACTCGGGGAGGTCGGCGGCGCCGCCGCGCAGTCCTTCGATCTCGGGCGCGGCGAGGCGACCCGTCATCTGGAGGGCACTCTCTGCCCTCTGTGCTAAGCGCGGACAGAGAACGAGGGGCGGCCGGGGCGTGATGGGCCCCTTCGGGGAGAAGGACGTGGGGAGAGCGGACACCTCGCTGCCAGGTCGGAAGGCTCTCCCGACACTCTTCTGAAGTGAACCGCAGTCTGCAGGCCGGGGTTGTGCTTGGGGCTCGCGTTCCGGGGGGAGGGGGGCCCTCAGTCCCTGACCCATTTGAGCGAGTTGTCCTTTGCAAGGGTCCCAAGTCTAGATTTAGGTGTCAAACTGGTGTTTTGAGCCTAGGGTTCCTAGTCACTCGGATCAGACTGAAAGTGTGGTGTTAAGCYACCTGATCCTTCGTTCCCCGGTTTTGCTGAATGTGAGCTCCTACTGTACGTRTAAAGGCGCCCCTGCCCCCTCGAAGGCGCAGTTGCGTTGGCAGCATGGTGTTGTGTGTTTCTCTCACTCATAGCACCCCTATTTTTAGGAGTTTAGCATTTGATCTTTCACTGTGGTGTGAATTAAACGTTTGGAATCCTGATTGAGAATTTTGATGTTACTTAAAGGCATAAAGTTTCTCAAAGGCTTATAAATAGTAAAAGCCTAGAGTTAAGTACGTCGAGCTAAGGTAAGAGTATATTAAATATACTGAATGTGAGCACGTGTTTTCTGATTTTTTTCACAATCTGATAAAAGTTTTACTGGATGAAATTTAAAACATTTGAATTAAATATTAAACACAGGTATTCACTTTATTTTGTTATTTTTGTGGTATTGAGAATTGTACTCTGGGGCACTCTACCTTTGAGGGCTATCYGCGACCCCTCCACACCTCTCTGTCTTGATTTTTAAGTTTTGAGACAGGGTCCCATCAATTTGCCCAACTTGGCCTGGAACTTGCGATCTTCCTGCCCCAGCTTTCTGTGCTACCGGTCTGGTAAGGATTCACTTTAATAAAAAAGTTTATTTAGAATAAATATACTTGATCATTCATGGTAGTCCTTGGACATATATAAGGTGATGACAAACTAGAATTTTCCTAAGTGAAAAAGAAAAGGAAATGAAGCTTATTGAGTTATTGTTTGCCAACTACAGCACTTGACTGAACTGTTTATAGTTTATAGAAAGAAATACTTCTGGAGAGGCTTTGCCTTCGATCTGCGGGTTATATATCTCAAGTAATTAGCTGCCTGAAATATGAATGGATTAATTTAGTTCTTTTGGGCCCTAGGAGAGGGGGATGTATGTGCTCCGCACTACCCCAAACTCTTTTAGATATAGTTTCAAAGTATTTTATCTACTATTTTATCTACTTGCCTTTTTAGGAGAAGCATACATTTTGACTCAGTTATGGTTGTGAACATTGTTTTTGTGTTGCTTATTGAAAAGGGAAAAGACTCAGGAGACTGTTGATAAATGGGGCCTACCACTTACTAAAAGCTCTTGACTGCTACTTAGAGATTTTGTCTTTCTTCTGGTGGTGGTGGTGGTGAGAGAGTGGAAGAAATTAAATTGATAGCCATTCCTATCAAATGACTGCCTAAAAGAACCCCTGCACCTTCTAATTTGTTCAGAGTCACCCATTACTGCATTAAAAACCAAATAAACTTGTTAGGATTTGAGTTGAAGATAAGAACAAACAAGTTGTGAATTATTAGGGACTCATCTTTTTTTGATCATGTTGTATAAACTCTTTTTTYCCCCTCTGCTTTCTGGAGAAGTAAAGTTGAAGAGTTGAGTTGGGGTGAGTCAGGTGTCACTTTAGTAGTTAGGAAGATGCTGTGTCTCTCTTAAGAGAAATGTTTACTCTTTTAGGAATGTAGGATCTTTAGAAAGCAAATAAGCACCTCAGTACATAAGCATTATTGACTTTACAGGTTGATAGGATTCTGTAGATGTGATTAAATCTACTTAGTAAAGTGTTTTGAAATTCTGTGAAATTTTTCTTTTGTGGGGAGAAGAGCTACCTTACATTAAAGAGACATTTGTTACAGGGAAAATAAACTATGGTCAAAAATTAAGATTCTGGCCTTAAGTTTAGTGCACATAGTCATGCAGTATTTCAGAATATTGTGTGTGTGTGTGTGTGTGTGTGTGTGTGTGTGCGCGCGCGCGCATGCGCACCAGAGAGAGAGAGAGAGAGAGAGAGAGAGAGAGAGAGAGAGACTGTATTGTAACTTTGTGATAAAGTTTTTGTTTTTTGCTGTAACAACCCCCCTCCCCCACCTCCCCACAGCAGGGTATCAAACCCAGGGTCTTGTACATGGTTAGGCAAATGCTCTACTACTGGGCTACATTCCTAGCCACAGTGAAATTTAATTGTGGCTAATATTAAAATTTAATATTCGCAAATAAAAACTTTCTTGAAATTGTTAGAAAATTGTTAGACCTTTTCCAAAATTAGGCAACTACTTGTACTTGGAACACTGTCAACTAGTATGATGATGCTGAACTACAAGATATATTTTTTAAATTGTGGGACTTAGTAGCAAGACTCATTTAAACATCCTCTTTTTTTTTTTTTCCCCCAAAGAGATAATGTGCACTTTTGACTGACTTGGATTTGGTCTTCTGACTAGTTCATGTAGAATCCAGAGGATTTCCTTGCCAACCTACCTGCTTAGTAAAACTTAGTYATAACTTGTGTTTCTATGGTTGACATAAGAACAATCAGTGATTAGTTGAATACACTGCCAGTTAGTAACTCTAATAACTATTGGAGAAATATGTAACTGRTGAAAGATGCATAGTAGACTCTTTCTAATACCTTTTACCTTTATTGCAAAATATGGCAAGATGTGTTTAAAAAATTGTTTTTGCTCAGTTAGAAGGCTTGCTTGACATGCAGCTGTTTGGCAGGCTCTCAATGCCAAAAATGGAAAGGGAGTAGAAGTTAATACTTTTTTTTTTTCTTTTTTCCTTTAATGGTGATTTATAGCTCTGTAAGAAAGAGGGCTATCTCTGGGTTGAAGACAAAGAACAACTTCTCCCCCCCCCCTTTTTAAGTGTGGTGGTATTCTGATTTTGTAGCCATTTTGAGATTTTAAAAGCCAGGTGTGTTATTTACTTTCTAGAAAATTTGTCATTGATAGATGTGAACATAGAATAACTGAACTTGATCCTACAATAAATCCATTACTCAACTAAGTTTTTTCCACCCTAACTATCCTTTGCCATTCACCATACAGAAGAACACTTGAGGGCTTTCTCTATAGTTTTAAAAGTGTTTAGCCAGAAGGAAATGCCAACCAGAAAATACAGTGGCAATAGGGTAATTTTKGGGACTTTATAAAACACTTTAAAATCTTGTCTTGATTTCATTTCTTAAAACCTTTCTGTGAAGGAATTCTGTTATTCTCATTGAAGAGAGTGAATGTGATTTCTCCACAGTCTCAGAAACTACTGAGGCACTCTTAACAGACTTGGAGGAGGCTAGGGGTCCCACATACATTGGACATTATCACATATAACTAGGAATGACCAGGCTTTGTTGAATAAACAAAATTTGAAAGCATAAACTAATGAAGGAGAGAGAAGATCGGGCCATTTAAAAAGGAATGAGAAGGCAAGTCACCAAGTGGACTAGGAAATTTTAAGATAGAAAGAGAAAAGGTAGATATGAAAGAGTAGAACAATTGGTGAAGAAAGTATAACAGTTCTGCTCATTATTGAGTAGCATGAAATGGCTGGAAGTGCAAAGCCAAAGTAACCATTTTGCAAATGATTTCTTAAGTTATTGGTAAATATATCTTTATGTGTTTTGGTGTACACACATATTGTGGATAGAATTGTAACACTGCACGTCAGCAGCCATCTTCACTACTTTGGGAAAAAATGGCTATACAGTAACTATATGGGCAGATGATAGCTATTAGAAACAATACTGAAGTCATGAAAGACTCATTTAAACATCCTCTGTTTTCCCAAAGAGAAACTGTGCTCTTCAGACTTACTTGGATTTGGTCTTCTGGTCAGTATAGATACAATCTAGGTAATTCCCTTGCTAAACTACTAGCTTAATAAAACTTATTCATACAACTTGTGTCTCTATGATTGACATCAGTTAGTGATTAGCTGGATATCCTGTTAGTAATTCTAATAACTAGTTGGAGAAATATGTAATTGATGAAAGATGCATAGCTYGGGTCTCTAGTACATTTCATCTTTCCCTGCAAAATGCTGATATGGGAGCAATGTTTCTTTAATCATAGAGAAGAAAATGTGGTGGAAGAAGAACAAGGAGTCATAAGCTGAGTGACTTAAGCTCTCTAAGCTTTGAAGCCCTCATATATAGTAGTGATGATAATTTCATAAYAAGGCTATTGTGGGAAGCAGATGATAGGGTACAAGTGTTTGTAATACTTTACAGTTTGTAAAGCTGTGTATAAGACATAGTAACATGTAAGAATGTGCCAGTTTGACTACTTGTTCTATTATGTGTAAAGTACATTTGCAATCAAAAGTTACAATTTTCTTTTTTAATGTGTAAGGAGGTTTAGTTTGGACAAGAGTGGGGGAAAGTTTTTAACTTTATCTGTGAAATGTGGATAATACGTTCATTATAGGGTTATTTTGAGTATTAAATGTGGCAA